TAGATTGCTACAAAATATCATGCAAGGAAAAATAGCAGGCAAACGCAGTCCAGGACGAAGAAGAACCTCATGGTTGAAGAACTTGCGAGATTGGTATGGTATAGATACAAGCATGCTATTTAGGGTGGCAGTGAATAAAATTAAAATAGCTATGATGGTAACCAACGTTCTGAAAGGACATGGTACATGAAGAAGAAGAAGGTAAAGATTGAAGTTCTTTGTAGAGACATGAAACAATCTGATTAGCACCCCTTCCCGAAATAATCTCGTACCACATGTAACAAATTGCTTGATTGTTATTACATTGATGCAAGGTCAAATTGTATGTCCAAAGTTGCCGCTTATAAAAAGCAATAGACGTCGTTATATCTGGGGTAGACGGACATTGCTGTAAATCAAACGAATAGACTATTTTGTAATCATCTTTGGCAGCTTCTTCCTTGTACTTGCGTTTAGCAGCGTAAGCATTTTCAGCTTCTTCCATGTGTTTGTCTAACGTTTTTCTTAAGTCTTCTCTAACTTCTGCACTATGTTAGGGCCTTGTATTTATCGCATGTTTGACACGTATATTTTTTAAACTTTTTAATAGAAATATTCATAGTATGAAACACAGATTCGTATGCCTTACGGCCGACAGGATTTCATGGTGATATTAATTTTTTATAATCTTCGTATAGTCTAGTGAGTGTACAAATTGAAGGCAAAAATCGTTTGTCGCTTTTTTGTCGACAGTAGTGGCTTACGTAGTTCGGAATCGATGTAATATTAACATTATATTTTCTTCACTTGTTTTGTTGGGAGATTCGTGTCTGCCTCGTTGATCGTTATATGCTATACCTAAAGAATTTGCGATTAAGTTATTAGATCGGCTACTTTCCCCTATATAGGAGAGAGTTCCGTAGTTTGCAGATGGTTTCTTGTAACTCACTTTCAGAAGTTTTAATTAAAATTTCCTAACGGTTATTTTTGTTTACTTTCGAATTGGCAAATATTTATAAATTATTATTTTCCAGAAATTATCTTATCGGCGATGTTAAGATTGTAAGATCCGCGGAACTATTTTCAATGTCTATGGTAAACCTGCATAATACTCTTATATTACACAGCAAAATTCGAATTGACATCTATAATCTATCCACTATTTCTGGCAATATAAGATAATTAAACTAATACTACTCGTAAATAACAACCAAAAATTAATCCAAGCTACTAGTAGTTCATGTTATTTTTTCCTATTAAACAGGTACCAAAACATTATATTTTTTATTTGGATTATTAAGGGTGATAAAAAATAGACAATTTGAAAATATTGATTTACTGTTCGGTCAATAAATTGAACAAATAAAAAATGTTTGGTTTTTTATTGACGGTGTTTGTAAAAACACGAGATAAAACTTATTGCTTTGTATTTAGGCCGTTACTTAAACAAAAACAGTATCTGTAATAAATCGTGTTTTCATAACAAAAGGAATTTTTGTATCAAAGCGTAAAGATTGAAGAATATACTAAACAAACTCAAGAATGATTGAACGAATAATAATAACCACCACACTATTGAGAAAAGTTATAATAAAAAAATATGTTCTATGGTGTTAACTAAATTGCTACAATGGAATCAATAAGAAATAAAAACAGTAATCGAAAAGAAATAAGTACTTGCAAAATAACACAGAGCAAAGAAGTATATAGAAGAACTCGCCACTGAGCAAAAAGCACTCATATGTAAAGATTATTTACCCCAGTTCCAGTCAAAAGGTGAAAAAAAGCCACTTAGTCCGGTTGTTCCATAGGTCTTCTTCTATGGTTTATCTCGTTTTCTCTTTCCTTATGGTTGCCATTTTAATAGTTCTTTTGGCATTCGTTGTTTATCCATTCTTTGTATGTGTCCAAACCAGATAAGTTGTTTTGTTGTTAGGTCATCTGCAATGCGGTCGTTGGTAATCCTTTCTCTTCTAGATCCTCCTGCGGCTCTTCTTCAAAAATCCATTTCCGTCGCATTCAGCGTGGCCAGTGTTCTTTTTTTTGTGGATATACCTCACAGCTGTATAAAGTGATACTTTTTACTATAGTCTCATATATCCTCTTTTTATTTTCTTTGCTCATGGATTGATCCCATAAAATGCTGTTTAGTTACTGCTCTATACTAGTACTAACAGGTTTTTAAAGGTTTTAAAATATATATGAGGGATCTTCTTCTTCTTAGTCGTTAATCTGATGCAGGTATCGTGATATCATTAAGCTATAAGCTAAATTTCCCAATGTTCCTCCACGTTTTTCTATCTTCTGCCATTCTAGCACATTCTGACAATGGAGCGCCAATGGTAGCAACAATATGGTTCGTGTATCTTGTGGGAGATCTACCTCTATTTCTTCTGCCTTCTATTTTTCCCTGGATGGTAAGTTTTTCAAGTACATTTCTTTGAAGCACATGTCCAAAATAGCTTATTATTTGTTCTGATATTTGTGTTCTTAGTCTTTTCTTTACGTTTAGCTGGTCCAGTATGGATTTATTTGTTCTTCGGGCCACCCATGGTATTCTCAGCATTCGTCTCCAGCAGTACATCTCAAATACATCTATGTCCTTTTTTTCTTTCTCGGTAAGGGTCCAGCATTCCAGTCCATAAGTAAAAACTGGAAAAACTAGACTGCTTACTAGTCTCATTTTTGTATCAGTAGTTATTTCATTGCTTTTCCAAATTTTTGTTAATTTTGTCATAGCGCTTTTTGCGATTGCTGACCGCCGCTTTATTTCTTCAGTATAGTCTCCTTTGTTGGTTATTAATGAGCCCAGATACACAAATTTATCTACAACATCGATATTGTTTATCATGACCAGATGATTTTGATTGTTGTTAGCTCTGTCAATTATCATGATTCTCGTTTTATCTCTGTTTATTTTAAGGCCCATCGTTAAGCTTACGTCTTCTATCCGTTGTAGCAGGTGAATCAATTCAGCTTCAGAACTAGCGAGGATAGTAGTATCATCTGCATATCTCGAGTTGCAAATCTTCTTCCCGCCAATGGTGATGCCACCGTTCCAGTCCTCAGTAGCTTTCCGCATTATCCATTCACCATAGATGTTAAATAGAATTGGGCTTAGTATGCAGCCTTGTCTCACGCCCTTTGTGACCCTGAAACTATCGGTTAGTTCCCCATTTATTCTAACTCTGGCATAATTGTTATTGTACAGGCTTTTAATTAGCAGTATCAGATGATTGGGGACTCCCATTTCAGACAAAACCTGCCACATTTTACTCCAGTTGACCAAATCGAAAGCTTTACTATAATCTATGAAGCACAAATATGTTGTGAGGTTGAATTCTCTAGATTTTTCTACAATCTGCCGTACGTTTAAAATTTGTTCTCTAGTACCACGTCCGGGGATAAAACCTGGTTGTTCCTCCGCAATGTTAGGTAGTAAAAAAGGCTTTATCCTCTCGAGAATTATGTGTAAGAGTATCTTACTGCAATGCGCAATTAGAGCAATTGTGCGATAGTTGCTACATAAATCTTTCGCTTCCTTTTTATGACTATGTATGGGAATATATAGTGATTGTGTCCAGTCCTCAGGCCATTTGCCTGTCTCCCACACTCTTTGATGACAAATTTGGTGTATTATATCCACTCCAACGTCATCTAGGGCCCAAATCATATCAATAGGTATGTTATCTGGCAAGTGAGATCTTGCCAAAACGTCGTCAAAATAATGGTTTTTATCAAAACCAAAATTATTTACCGGGGAGTCAAACCCGGAAAACTACAGAAACAGAGGATTTCTCTCTCTTGATGCCAACCATAATGTAGCTTCACCTTTTTTTAAAGTTTTAAACTGTTTGTCCTTGTGTAGTGTAGTGTAATATACAATTTTATGTTTATGACGAAAATTGACGAAATGCCCCTGAAGATGCTCTAGGAAGCGAAAGTACTTGGGCAAGATTTAATTAACAACACTGTGCTCGATATCTGCCTTTTCATTTGATCAAAGTTCATTTATTCGAGCATTCAACCTTATATCAATTTCTTATTTGATGTATGTTATCATATGAAAAATTCCTACAATAATCGTTTCTATTACAGAAAAATGAGTTACAACAAAATCCAAGCCTGGTTACAACAACATATGGAAGAAGCTTTGTCAGATGATGCATTGGAACTGCAATATGAAGGCAAGGTGATGACAATGGGGAAGACTGTTTAGAAGAAAGATGTAAGGAGAAAGCGAGACGAACATGTTCAAGAAATTGAGAAGGATATATTTAAGGTAATGAGATTCTAAAAAAAAGACACTGTCCACCAATTAATTTACAAAGCTATAGGTCAAGGTCAAAAAAAATTGTTACACAATTACTGGGACCAAAACGAGTTATCCGCAATTTGACCGACCTTGTAGAAATCTTAAAAAAGTTATTTGACGACTCCATTATCAATACCATTGTTATCTATACCAATCTATATAATCAATAGTACAAGCTATTGAATCTATTTTCAATGGAATTAATACCAAGTTTCAAGACTCAACTTTTTCTACAAGAATATGAAAAGATATAAAAATATGCACTGAAACAAAAACCTATTAATCACAAATTCAAGATATTCCTTCCTTACATCAAGAGAGCTGCGAGATAGCAGCAAGAAAGATGTACCAAGTTTTAATACTATAGGGCTTTTTCTTAAAAAACATTATCAGAATATGAAAAGAAAAAGAAGACCTGTTGACCTTATTAACTCTATGGTTCTTCCTTATACTAACATAAACTAATGAACCAGATTCCAATACTCCTGGAATAGCCTTCTAAAAATGTGTAAAATGTTTAAAAACTTTTATTAATATCATAAAAAAGATATAATCTTAAAACGTATTTCTTTCAAATGTTGTTAATCAAACTAATAATCTGCTTTATGATATTCGTAATCTATATAGCAGATATTATCCGATTTATTTACGCTCCCACCACGAATAAATATAGAGACGATGTTCATTGTTATATTTGAGGTGTTATGAAAAATTTAACAGTATTTGGTGATATGGTAACGACGTAAGAACGGATAAAGGACAAAGAGTGACTGACGAGAATGGATGAAAACAAAAAGGTAAGTTCGTACATAAAATATGCAGAACTTTATGAAATTTTTCTCAGGACTTCGGAATAATTTTTTTATTATATAGACATATAGAAAGAAAACTTACATGTCGTACAGGCAATTCAGTGTTGTTTTTTATTAATTAACAATTAAGTTTGAAGATGTAATTTTTCCTATTTAACTTATCATTTAAAAGGTTTTTTTTATTTAGTTTATTGTGTCTCAACTACAAGGTTATTCACACTGGGTCAATTTTTTTACGATACATTTTACATTACATTAAATATAATTTACAGTAAAGAAAATATGTAAAATAGAAAGTAATAAAAAAGGAAACACTAAATTTTGTAATAAAAGTTAATTTCTCGAAGGAAATCTATTACATTCTGAACAAGTTCTAATTGGCTGAGGATCACATTTGTAAGACCTTATATAGAAGTTTTTTGTTCTTGCCCGTATTTGGCACACTGTGTAAACATTTTGAACGGTTAATGATTTACTACACTTTTCACAAACACGTGATTACTTCGAAGCCATCAGGTGTCCAGGTATCAGCCGTGTGTGACCAATTCTTAGCCTGAGAACGATTAATTTGTCTCTTCTACTTAAGTTCTTTTTCTTCTTTTTATAGAGACATGACTCTGTCCGTTTTTCAATTTGCCTTCAGTAAGTTGTCGTTCCATTATTATTTTCGTGGTCTTCCTACTGATTGTCTTCATATTGAGGATCCGTCTCTTGTCGTCTTTACTACTCTATTTGTACTTATACGATCGTTGTATTCTACTCTTCTATTTCTTAAACAGTTCTTAATGTTCTCCTCCTTGCATCTACGTCGTATATCTGTACTTCTAGCTCTGTCCCATAGTGTTTTACCATTAATTTTTCCAAGTGTTTTCATTTCTGCTGTTTCTAACATTCTTTTTTTGCTCTCTGTATGAGTAATGTCATTATTGGTCTAACTGTTTTGTAAATTCTGCCTTTCGTTTCTTTCCCGATATTTTTATTTCTCCATATTGTTTCATTTAGGCAGCCTGCGGCTCTGTTTGCTCTATTCACTTGATCTTCCACTTCGGTTTCGAGTTTTTCCTAGCTAGATAATGTGATGCCTAGCTATTTAAACTCCATCACTTGTTCTATTATTTGACCTTCCAACTCCATTTGACATCTTAGTAAATTTGCTATTGTAACAATGCATTTTGTCTTTTTTGGGGAAATTAATATGTTAAATTTTCTGGCGGTTCTATTAAATTGGTGTAGCATACGTTGTAAATCATCTTCACTATTTTGTTATTTATTTCCTATTTGGTTTTCTTTTTTAGGTTTTACTTTTTTTAATATTTCATCCGTAATCAGTCTGAACAATGGAGGACTCAATGAATTTCCCTGTCTTACCCCATTGCCAGCTTCAATAGGGTCGGTTAGTTCTTCTTCTATTTTTACTTTTATTGTGTTGTTTTGGTAGATATTATCAAATCGTTTTGATTATACTTAGAGGTATCTCTTTTGCGTAGAGTAAGTGGATAACGTCTTATAATTTGACCTGGTCAAATGCCTTTATAAAGTCCACGAAATATAGATATACCGGTTTGTTGTATTCTAATGATTTCTCTTGCACCCACTTCAATATAAATATAGCGTTTTCCTCTATAATTTTCCGGGTCCGATTTGTCTCCCTTTTTGAAGAGAGGTATTAAGATGCTTGATCTCCATTCTTGAGGAATTTTGTTTTCTTCTATTATTTGTTGGATTAGTTTTAATAGTTGTTTGATTAGATCTAGTCCTCTGTACTTTAGAAGTTCGTTCGGCATTCTGTCTTCTCCTGGTGATTTTCTATTTTTGAATTTCCTTAATGCTTCCTTTACCTCTTCCTCCTCAATATTTATTGCTTCGTTTGTCGTCACCTCTGGTGTTGGTGGTTCATTATCGTTACCTTTCGCAAATGGGGATCGAAAGTAGTCTCCATATGTTTCCTTCTAAATGTGTTTCGTTTTTATTAGTTCGTTTATCTCTTTTCTTTGTCCTCCGATCATTCTTCATATTTATTTTTGTGTTTCGTAGAAGTCGTGTTTCACACTGTTTTGAGAAACTCTGCCAGTATTCCTTTTTATTTGTCTAACTAAAGTATTCGTTTCATTTCTGATTCGTTTATAGTGGTTGTATGCCTGTTATGTTTGTTGTCTTCTGTATTGTAAAAAGGCTTTCTTCTTTTCTTCACATTTTGTCTTTACTTTCTCTTTAAACCATGTTTTCTTTTTTGATATGCTGGTGTTCGTTACTTTCCTCTCTAAAAGTGATTCTATAACTGCGTTAATTTTTATTTAGCGTATGGACTTTCACAGTACGATAAATATACAAATAGAATTACAATAATATACACATATATATTATATATATTATTCAAACACTAAAAATAGTAAAAATAGAATGAATAGAATGAATGACACTAAATATTAATGTCCAATTTACATAGCCATTCAATTGCTTCTGGGGAACATCCGCAAAGTCCTGGAGGTTTCCACGGTAGGCACGATTCAAGCAGTCTGAAACACAATGGCTTATGGTCTGTCTGGATTCTCCGCAATCGCACTGTGGACTTTCTGCACGACCCCACCTGAACAGCGAATCGGCACATTTACCATGTCCGGTACGTATACGATTAAGCCTTGCCCAAATGGACCGGGGCAGATTTGATCCGATGAAACCCTGAGTTGGGGTGGATATCTTAATATAGTCCGATTCTACAGTTGGCATCCATCTTGTTGTCTATTGCCTATGTATATCATAGGAATTACCAATTTTTCGGGCAGATCGTATTGGAGGATTTCTAGATCTCAATCGTTGGTGCTCTTTTGAGATGTCTGGGATATCTTGATGTATTGGTAATTGTACGTTGGCTACAATTTTTTGGTACTCTCTCATTAATGCTGCTGTACGGCGTAGATCTGGTGGAGCAATATTGCTCAGAGTAGGCAGCCATCTCACTGGCGTTGATTTTATTGTTCCAGTGATTATTCTCATGGTTTGGTTAAGTTGGACATCGATTTTGCTTGTATGTGCACTATTTAGCTATACTGGTGCACAATATTCTGCCACTGAAAAAACCAAACCTAGAGCAGAGGTTCGAAGAGTATCTGCAGAAGCACCCCAAGTTGTTCCAGCAAGTTTTGATATTAAGTTATTTCGTGTTCTTAGTTTACCGGCTGCGTTTATAAGATGACTTCTGAAGGTGAGTGTTCTATCAAGTGTGACGCCTAGATATTTGGGGTTGTTGTTATGTTTGATAGCTGTGTCATTTAGAGTTACATTGAGAGTATCGCCCGCAAGTTGATTCGACAGGTGAAAGAGACAGGTTTCAGTTTTGCTTGTGTTAGGACGTAAGCGCCAGTTCTTAAAATAGTTACTTAGTGTAGATAAAGTCCTCGTTTAGAGCTCGTTCTCCTGCTTCTTTACTATTATCTTGGAAGCCAATGGCCAGGTCGTCAGCATAAGCAAATTTTCTCGATTTTGTTTTAGGTATATCTGCTGTATAAAGGTTAAATAATAAAGGAGCTAGCACTGAGCCTTGAGGTAAGCCGTTGTTAAGTTTTTTTTACCCCTCTTAAGAAGCTCGGTTTCCGATGGTGCGTGAGTTTCTTGAATGGTTATGACGTCAACGTTATTTTCGATTAGTAGTTTTGAAAGAAATTCGGATTTTGATCTACTAATTCCTTCTATGTTTATTTGACATATACGGAGGATAGGCCCGATACGTCTCGTTAAATGGTGTTGATAAACACCTTTGTAGTTTTCCATATTTCTATATGGAGATTCCTGTTCTTATTTTTCTTTATCGTACTGGTTGCCAGGAGAGCTCAGCGGCTAGTTTGGCGTCCAAAAATTGATAGACCATTTTGCGTTACCCAGGGTGCACCATGTGGAGGTGATCTATCATTACACCGCAGCTGCGTTAATTATGTTATTTTTGAGTTTGTATCTAGTGTTGGCGAAATATCGAGAACTAATCTCAGAAGACAACGGTCTAACAGCCCGAACAAGCAGTTTAACAAATGGAGGGATCGATCTGAAATGTTGAGGATTTATTAAGGACCACAAGATCTAATTTTGGATGTAAAGGTGTAGGTTAATTTTTAGGAGACATAAATAATTAAAGATTTAACAAATCAATAGATCAAAGAGTAATTAAAAGTAAATTAAAAGAAACATATCCTGCCGTGTCAAATCAAATTAAGATAGTGCAGGAATTTATATACCTAGATGTAAAAATCACCAACAACTATAATTGTAAGGAAGAACTAAGAAGAAGAGAAATGATGGTTGTGGACACTCATATTGCTCAGCGTCACTTACGTTGCAGAGTCATGGATGATGAAACTGGCAGATAACAAATGAATCAATGCTTTTGAAGTAATTACTTCTTGGAGACAAACGTTAAAAATACCATAGATCCAGAAACTGAAAGGGAAACCTAAATTTTAGATGTTCTAAAAAACTCAGAACAAACTGAATTCAAATAATTCAGAACGTCAAAGCTTGAAAGAATGAATGCTTTTTATTTTTAATTGTTTTTTCTTGTAATCTCTCTACAAGTAGGATTTATTAGTCAATATTTTAAAACGATAAGCTGTATACTTTTAGCACAAAAAATACTTGTTACTATAAATTAAAGAGATTAACAAATTATACAAATGGCAAAACAAAAAGCTATAAATTATTGTTATAAATTATAAATTAGCCGATATTGTGTCAATGGTTCAATGGTTAATGGATTTATAAATAAAACTACAGGAACGTAGATTCCTTGTGGATTATAAATATTTGTGCCAATAAATCCCAAATTTTATAATTTTCTCTTTATTCTTTTTCATCCTGTGGCATTTTCGATTTGAATATAACTGCATTTCTACCAAAAGATGCAGAAGCCAATATCATTATTCTGTTGATTTCTGGAAGTAAAGAGCCAGATTTATATATTAATGGTTCCAACTATTTATACTCGTCTATTGTCTTAA